CCTGAACCCCACCCCACACTCTGCCCCACCCGAGGACATGCCCTTATTCTATCATCCCAGACTGCAGCCACTACACCTACAACAATCTAGAGAAGTCTCGCTAGTGTACAACGTACACAAATCAAACTTGAAGGAAACACGTGGTAGCTAGTATCCTAGTTCAAAGGTTTAACTATTGCGAAGTAAAATAACAGTAATTTAGCTAACACCAAAAGGGAAACAGTAAAACAGGAGGTACCAATTCCCGATAACAAAACCTGTGGCTGATTTGCTGTGCTCGATCACTTTTTCATAACCTTATTATTGCTTGTTTGGACAAAAGTACATCCTTCCTTTGCCAAAGGTGTTATTTTTTTTTGTTGTGAAAGTTAAGGTATTTGACCAAATTTTTAAAAGGAAAAAAGTTTTTTTTTTTTTTTTTTTTTTTTTTTTTTTTTTTTTTTTTTTTTTTTTTTTTTTTTTTGCAGAAATAATTATTGAAAAGCAGAAAAATAGCTTCTCTCAAAAAGCAATTCTTTGAAAATTACTTTTGAGAATAATACATTTAAAAATGCTCAAAAGTGAGTTTAGCTAAACACAAATTGTTTCTCACTAAAAGTATTTTTTAAAATAAGCTAACTTTTGAAACTTGACCAAACATGCGATCAGATTGAAGATACCGTACACGTTAAATCAATAAAGGACATAAGTGTTATAAATTATATTATGGATATTCATTTAGTACTCCGTTGTAAATAAGCTTCCTGAAGAAGCTTATCCATATGGGACTCTGCCGTAAATGTGTTTATCTATTTAGTACTCTATTGATATGATTGGAAATAAGCCTCCTGAAGAAGCTTATCATTTCAATACTCCGTTATGGATTATTTTATAAAGAAAATGTCATCAGAGTTTGTTATACTTGTTGTTTATGTTGATGACATAAATCTTGTTGGAACTCCAGAAGAGCTCCAAAAAGTATTTGAATATCTTAAGAAAGTATTTAAGATGAAAAATCTTGGAAAGACAAAACTTTGTCTTGGTCTGCAAATTGAATATTTAGCAGATGAGATCTTTATCCATCAATCTGCCTATACAGAAAGGGTCTTAAAACGCTTTTACATGGACAAAGTGCACCCATTGAGTACACCAATGATTATTCGATCACACAGAAGAGGATGAGGAACTCTTTGGTCCTGAAACACCCTATCTTAGTGTAATTTAGTGCACTTATGTATCTTGCTAATGCTACAAGGCCTGACATAGCATTTTCTGTTAATTAACTAGCAAGATATAGTTCTTCTCCTACATGGAGACATTGGAACGAGATTAATCATAGATTGCGATATTTAAAGGGAACTCTTGATATGAGTTTGTTTTATGCTAACAAAGATAGTGCAGATCTTGTTGGTTATGCTGATGCAAGTTATTTATCTGATCCACATAAAGCTAGATCTCAAACTGGACACGTGTTTACGTGTGGAGGTACTGTCATATCATGGCGCTCCACAAAATAATATATTGTTGTCACTTCTTCATATCATGCTGAGATAATAGCTATTCATGAAGCAAGTAGGGAATGTGTATGGTTGAGATCAATGATTCATTTCATTCGAGAAAAATGTGGTTTGGAATGTGATAAAAGATCCACAATTTTATACGAAGACAATGCTGCATGCATAACCCAATTGAAGGGAGGATTTATAAAGGAGATAGAACGAAACACATTTCACCAAAATTATTCTACACACGGTCTTCAGAAAAATAGTGACATTGATGTGCAACAAATCCATTCAAGTAACAATCCGACAGATTTGTTCACTAAATCTTTGTCAACTTCAACTTTTAAGAAGATGGTATACAAGATTGGAATGCGGAGACTCAAATATTTGAAACAAGATTTTCATCAGGGGGAGTGAAATACGCGTTGTACTCTTTTTTCCTTACTAAGATTTTTCCCATGGGGTTTTTCTTATAAGGCTTTTAATGAGGCAGCTAGAAATGCGTATTACTAAATATGTGTACTCTTTTTTCTTCACTATGATTTTTTCCACTGGGTTTTTTCTAGTAAGGTTTTAATGAGGCACATTATCTTTTAATGAAAATTCAAGGGGGAGTGTTATAAATTATATTATGGATGTTCATTTAGTACTCCGTTGTAAATAAGCTTCCTTAAGAAGCTTATCCATACGAGACTTTGACGTAAATATGTTTATATATTTAGTATTCTATTGACTATTGGAAATAAGCCTCCTGAAGAAGCTTATTATTTCAATACTCCGTTATGGATAAATATTACCCCCGGTGGTAGATTATCTATATCTGGTACAATAACAACTTACAAGCAACTTACATAGTAACTTGCACAACAGCTTCCTTTCTTCTATAAATAGAGGAGATTTCGGTTCATTACGTACGTCAACTTGAAATTGAATAATACATCAATTTTTTTATATACTTGTCTTTACTCTGCTGTGTTAGTTTTATAACAATATATTTTGCAGACTAACAAAGTATCAAAGTTTACATTGACATTTCTGCAAGGTATCTACTTGACAAAAACGACGACACTTATTGAAACGTGTGACCCGACCGATTCGATCAAGTACAAACCAAAACTTTTCTTCTTCAGTTGTAGTTTTAGCTCGCCAGCTTAAACCCTTGTAGCAGCGATTCAAGGAATTGGAAGATTTCTTGCCCATTGCGAGAAGTCCAGCTGAACAGTGTGTAATGGGGGTGGTGGGCAAAGCAGGGGATTGGACATTTAAGGCGTTCTCGGCGGGGCTGGGCGTTGCCACCATTTTCTTTGCAGCTTCTTTCTCCCTCAACGTCTACCGTGGTCTCTCTTGGCATAATCGCCAATCGGTAATCACTTTCATTCTCATACTTCTGTCTTTTATTTCTTTTTGTTTCATAAACCCTAGACCTCTTTGAGGTTAGCATCCGGAGTTTTGTGTGATAAGAGAGTGCCGACGATACTCAAAGGCAAGTTCTATAAAGCGGTGGTTAGACCGACTATAATGTATGGGGCTGAGTGTTGGTCTGTTAAGAACTCACATGCCCAAAAGATGAAAGTAACAGAAACGAGGATGGGGAGGTGGATGTGCGGGCACACTAGGATGGACAAGATTAGAAATGATAATATTCGGGAGAAGGTGCACGTGGCTCCCATTGATGACAAGATGCGGGAAGCGCGGCTCAGATGGTTCGGGCATGTAATGAGGAGAAGCCCAGATGCTCCAGTAAGGAGGTGTGAGCGGCTGGTTGTTGAGGGCACGAGAAGAGGTAGAGGGAGTCCTAAAAAGTATTGGGGAGAAGTGATCAGGCAGGATATGACGAAACTTCAGATTTTCGAGGACATGACACTTGATAGGAAGTTGTGGAGGTCGAGTATTACGGTTGTAGGGTAGTTGAGTCTCGCGTTACTTGGTACCGTTGTGAGCCTAGTCCGGTAAGGTTTTAGTCTAAAATAACTAGGGGCATTGCCATGTCTTAATACTTTCTCTTTTCGGTGCAAGATCTATTTACTAGCCATCATTTCTGCCTTGTATTTTTCTTTTGCAATTTATGTTCCTATTTTTCCTATGATCTCTGTGGTGAAACTAATATTCCCTCCTTTTGTTTTTCTTATTATCTTGAGCCGAGGGTCTTTCCGAAACAGCCTTTCTACGCCTTCGGGGTAGAGGTAAGGTCTGCGTACATACTACCCTCCCTAGACCCCACTTGTGAGATTTTACTGGGTTGTTGTTGTTGTTGTTGTTTTTTTACCCCTTTACAATTAAGTTCAAACATTACTAACTATTGTTCAGCTCTTTGATGTTACTACTTCACATTTAGCAGGCTTTACGTTTATCTACTTGTACTCTGGCTATGATTGCCATTCTAGCTTCCTCTTGTTTGGTTATATGACAGTAATATGTACTTACTTATTGGTCTTTCATTTGTCTTATGACGGGAGATGTAGTAGTATTATATAACATGAACACGTAAAACCAAGAAATGCTTGCCTTGTTATCAATGAACTACTGGGTCAATATATTCTGCTGACAGAGGCGGAGCCAAGATGCGAGTTTATGGGTTCTAAACTTGCCACCGAACCCATACCACCTCGTCTTTGTTGGTGGTTTCGCAATTAAATATTTATACATATTTAATGAATTTTCTAATACGAATATAGGATCTAAGAAAAAGTTACTGGGATTCGTCCGAACCCTTACGTCATACTTTACCTACGCCCCTGATTCTGCAGCTCATATAAGATTCAAGGTTATAGTTTTTCATATCTCAGTCTTGAGGGATTTGAGGATAGTTCTGATCCCAAACTACCAATTACTGAAAGCACAAAAGCTACGGGTATCATCTCTATGTTGCAAATGCGGTGGCACTTCTGCTTCCAATAGTATGTTGGGTTTAAGTGACGCTGCACTCTGTGTTTTCAAGCATGAACGTCCTACTGCACCCCCTTTAGCCTAAATATATCTTAGTTCTATCCCATAATTTTTTTGTTCCGGTATAGTTGGATAGATGCTTGTTCTGCTCTTTTTGTGTGTGCTAATACTAGATTCTAACCAGTTCCCAAAATTGTCTTTAGAAATTGAAAGATGAATAAAAGCTCTAGAGTTGGGAAAAAAAAAGTTTTAGACGAATCATTCATGTCTGATGTCATTTCCTTTCATTTATAGTATATGTATGGTTGCTTACTTGCTTCAAAGTTGAATCTGTGTTACTGCTCAAGTAATACAACCCTGCTGTCTATGCCAAATCTCATGGAAATTGAAGTATATACCTTCCAGTTTATGCCCATATGTCCCTTGTGCTCTTTGCTTTTGTTCTGCATTCTGCATGTCAACTCTTTTAATATGCCTTTCGTATTCAATGTTGATGTTAGATCGCTTTTCCTAGATAGTTATATACTTATGTTGACATCTGACTATTAAACACTGCTTCCATCGTTACAAATCATTTATTAAACTTCTAGCTCTTCTAGTCAGTTATTTGATATGTGAGCATTTTTTTCCTGTAGAGGATTGAGAAGGAAGGATCTAAAGTCCTGCAGCAGCAAGAATGACGGTTTTAGACGCCCTACACTTTTACCTCACGTTGCAAGCCGAGGTCATAATATAAGTTCTGAATCTTTTTACATTAAAATAACTTGAAGCCGAGTATGATTTACACATTCTGTCATTGTTATTCATTTACTGTTGGTGGCCACATAATTGTGGAGTTGTAATTCTAAGTAGCTATTTAATTATAGCAGCTGCTGGCTGTTAAAATGGAGTTGGAACGATGTTTGAAATTCGGATGACGTGAATTGAAATTATACAATCGGATTGAACTGATTATTCGCTTATGCTTTATCTGGAAACTGAAGAAAGGAAGAGAAAAATGGAAACTTGTAAATTTTCCCTTCTATTGATTGGTTGGAGTAGAAAATGAGGAAAGAAAATAAAGGAGGGTATCATTTTCCTCTTGGACCCACAAAATTCCAATTTAAATTCTAGAAAGAAACGTCAAATACTATTCCTTTCTTTTGCTTGTTTTCTACCCAAATCAAAGTAAGTATATTTACCCCATTAATTTTCTGATTTCTACGCAAAGAGAACGAAAAATACTTTGCATTTCCTCTTTCAGTTTATCTCCTACTAGCTTTATCCCTTTTCACTAGTTTCTGATCAAAGGTTTACGGATTACACTTCCATGTTCGCTGTCATTTATGTCAATTCTTTTGACAGTTTCTTTGAAGTTTGA